GCGAAAAACGGATTTACCTTTGCAGGCTGGTGACGAGAATAACCTTTATTCACAGTAAACTTTGCACAATGACAATCTCAGATATAATTTCTAATGGTCAGATATCATAAATCTGGTTTACTCTGCAGTTTAAGATGTGGTAAACCGTAATGAGTATGTAAAAACAACTTTCGTAGCCTGTTTTTAATGGCAGAAATCATCAAACCAAAACCATAAAAAGCAAGTTTAAAACAAGTTATTTACCCTTCTTTATGCCTAATAAAGGTTAAGCGCAAAAAAGTGCTCTATACCCGATTTGGTAACACAAAAAGCAAAAGCGCCTTTAAGCGCCAGAAGACAGACACCAGTGAGCTGGATTTGTAGGTCCTAATGAATCAACCCGGGATTCAGCACTACTGAAGTCCGATATAAAGGATTATGGCTGTATTGATATAGACAATGTATCTATTGAATCAGTTGCCAAAAAATTCTACTTTTCAATACAAATAAAAAATTTAACTCATTCACTGAATAAATGATAGCGAGACTGAATGCAAATAAAACCGGAGACCAAACAAAATTACAATCAATGACTTGATTATTTGAGCATTATACAAATGTCCCAAAGAGGAACAGAGTATTATCGACTGTCTACGCAGAAGCTTGCAAGGATTTTTAGTCATCCATTTTAATCGATAACCTTATTGGCAATTGAACTGTTTAAAAGTTGAAACTCGGGAAACGATGATGCAGAGAAACAGTTAAAGCCTGCAACTTTACGGGAGAAACATTTGGTCCCTATGAAGAATTTAAAGCGGCTGCAAAAATACCTGAAAATACGTTATGCTTATTTAAAAAAGATATGCTCGTTATCTCGCAATTCTTCCGTGCATTTGTAGCATCCTTAACCTTGATACCAACTGGACTGATAAATCAGCTTATTTCCTCTATCATTTCGCAACTAACTCACACACTCACACATGAAGGTTGTTTAACTTCACAAGCAATGAAAGCCTTAAAAACAGTGTTCCGTTTTTTGCAAGAAACTGAACCGATACCAATAAATCTAAATGTTAAATGACATAAGATGAAGAACTATTATCCCTAAATTAATTTGAATGTTTCAGTCGCGACTATGTAAATTACGAATCTATGTATGGCTATGTACGGAAGAGTTACATCTCTAACGCCACTGGTACGTGTTTGTGCTGCGACAGAAAATAGAAACTCCTTGAATAGCATTTATGCTTAGTTTAATTACAGAAATGAGACTGTGTTCAACCCGAGTTATAACCAGCTGAGATTACGCATTTGGCAAGATTCTGTAAACTGCCAACATTTGTTTACTTGATATGAAAAGTACTCCAACAAAAAGTCAAGCGTTTTATCAGTATGTATGGCCCATTTCAATGCATTATACGAAGAAATGAAGCACTGTTGAAGAAGGTGTTACTGTTTGTTGACGAAGTAGCTCGAACTGTTTGTCACACTTAAATCGTACGTTGCTGCAGCTGCGCAGGAAAAATTTATTTATGCTGGTAAATAAACAGCAGACGTTGCATCTTTCCTCAGAGCATGTGGGAAGTAATTAATTCATCGCACCAAAAACAATCCTGAACTAGCCATCATAGAGCGACTATTTTGCGTGTTGCCAATCACTGAATCATAAGATTAGTCATAGGAATTAATCCCCATGAGCCGTCATTGCAAATCGGTCTGGAAGAATTCACGAAAACGGAACACTCATATAACTAGCAAGAATCCCGGTATATTACTACGGTTCTTAAAAATGGTGATCTCGTAAACCAATCACATTCATTCGAAGATTTAAACCGTACATCACTGATAGCCATAACCTTCAACTGAATATTAAAAGCATATTCAGTTTTAAAAGGGTAACAATTCCTGCCGGATCGTTCAACATTACGTAACAGAAAATGATCAGGTCGTCGTATATAATATTTCGGTAATGATCCTACATTTCGAAGATAGTAACAAATCAAAAAAGTGTTGTGTTAAGAGCGGACACTTTCGTCACCACAGTTGCTATCAGAAATTTTTTTACAGCTGTACCGTACACGCATTTATCAAAACACCTTTCAAAAAATTGTTTGATACTCGTGCAACAAATTAATCCTGATGTTGTTCTGAATATTGTTGAATTTGCCATTAGCCTTTGCCCCGCATAAAGTCGTTCCTTTAAGTGGAAACTTCAAGTGCGGCACATTCGTAACCATCAACCTTAGACTAACAGCGACAATGAAAAACAAAAATGGCCTGTATATTATTATCGTGAATTGCAAATAAGAGGAATCACAACCCAGATAGGAAAACTTTTAAACAATTATCTGCGAAGTTCTCGAAGCACATAGAACACAAATATACGCTACTTTAGGCTCTCGATTTTTTAAGGTGAATGTTCGACAGTCCATTCAAACCACTAATCCTCATGTATCATTCTTGATGTCTCCTCAGACATCATTTATCATAATTTCAAAGAAATAGAGCACTGGATGAAACTTAGAGACGAAGATAAGACCCGTTAATGACAAGCGATTAAATAATTTATCCTGCATGTGCAGAATTTCGCCTCGTGGAACGAACAATAAAAGCAATTTTTTAGAGGGCCGGGATGTTCAATAGTTCGACGAGACGTCGACATCCTAAATGTTTTATTTAGTGAATGAAAAAATGGCATTTTTCAAAGATTAATTAATGTTCCACTGTTCCTTAAACTTTCCTTCACTCTAGCATATAGATGAGAACTCTTCCTAAGTTAAGAAGGCAGACAGCATAAATAATCAATGACTCGAAACTTTCTTCATTAATCCACACGTGCAGCGACTTCAGAGATTAATAAGCACAATAAGAAGGTGACTGGCAGAGTACAAAATTAGTTTCGCGGTTTCGAATTCCAATAAAGAAAGAAAAACCAAAAAACAGCATATAAAACTGACAGGTGAAAAAGTTTTGGCCAAGGATCGAAGTGTGGAAGAAACTGACATAAAATAAAGGAAATACACTGATATTGATATGTACACGTAGAATTAATAACGTAACTTTCAAAAATTATCAACAACATCGCAGACACGCAATTTCATGAAGCCGTTCTTCCTACAACAGATTCACGTCTGCTACGACAACATACAACAATACAAACTAGCGATAAAACAGAGAAGCAGAATAATTTCTCGAAATCGGATGATAACAAATCGTAAAAACGCACAGTGCATATTTCAGCATAATAAACGACTCAGCGACTACAATTCAGAAATGGTTGTCGTGTCTTTAACTACAAACTATCACACTGAGGAAACGGAGCAGACGAAAAATATTAAAATTGTCGGTTGAAAAAATTTAAGCAGCTGACGCCATTGTCGGTTCAGCCAGAATTACCCTTCGACCATCTGACAAACCCATAAATCGAAATCGAAGCAGCGCGATGCCTTGATTGGTAATGATCGGCTAAAGCAACCGCACTCAATTCGAAAATTCTGATACAAGTCAAATCTTTTACGAATAACGGCCCACAGCAAAAAGTTCGAAAACAAAAGTTTTTGCCTCTAGAAGTAATGATAAGTAGGAAAAACAGGAAAACCATAAAAATCTGGAATGTACGAATCTGGAAAGTTCTGGCTGACTTTATAAGTAGATTCGAAGAACCATTTGATATATTATACTGCGTCGTCACCGGAAGAAAACTCTGAAAGAACCTTCATCGGCTGTAAATCTCGAAGCTGTGATGCCCGACGAATAATGCCATGCGGCTTTTGTTCGTGCCGTACGAGAGGTTGCTTGTTCGGGGGACACATCTTCCAGACGACCAACGAAGACTCGCGCGCTTTCTTCCGCGGATACTAAAAGGCAGAATAAAGACGCAAAACCGCAAAAAAAAATCTTTATAATAGTATTCGCGTACAAATCTCATAAACAACAACTAATTGTCTTCTGTTTACAAGGACGATTGCTTGAAGTGCCATTTCTGTGTATTTCTGAACGATATTTCTTATCGCTGAAACAATTTTATAACTAAAGATTCATTAAGTGACATTATATACAAATAAATTATATGCGAAAATGCTTTGGAGCTAACTACAACGAATCATAGCCCCCCCCCATGTACAATCAGTCAATATTACATTTCAATTTAATACCGAATTTACATTGCTAAATCACACCTCGCTACCATTCAGTCCTGGTCTCTTATAGGAACCACACTTAAACAGACACACCACTATGGCCTTTTAGCGTCAGCAGTGCATCTCTGAGTTAGGCGGAACAAGGGTGAGTTTGTTCAGTAACAAAATTTTCTTCCATCCGTGGGTGTTGATCGATCTCGCCCATGATAAGTCCAATTCACAGATGCGG